CCCGTTGTGCGGACTAAGGTGTGTTAGGCGTAGTGCCCTCCCTCCATTACCTGTCGTTTTTCCCCCTTGTAGGACGTGTGGTGGAGAGGTCGAGGGCCTGGTGCAGCTCCCTCGGTGTGCCCTTCTTCCGTTTCAGTCCTCTCCTCTCCAGCGAGGTCGCCCTTAACGTCACTGACAATAGGATTATCCTGCAGATGCTCTGGGAGACGGAGGCCTATCTGTGCAGCTGTAGGGATCGCATCCGACGTCTGGCCGACCAGCTCCTGCTGGCTGAGTAGCACCCTCCCACTCCGCCTTCCCCTCCTTCCCCCCTCTCTTTCGCCCTTATCACCACCAGAACCCATATTTTGTTATTCGCACTCCTTTTCATGCTCTTTTTTAAACCTTCCCACTTATTTCCCCTTTTTGGTGGGCGATTTAAAAAGCACAGCCCTTAAGGTCACATGCGAGAGACGTTTCGGTCGATTTTTGCGCGATATCGCGTTTCCCCTCTCCCGCTCCTACAAATATAGACTGATATGAGTTTTTTGTCGACTTTACTGACGTTGCCACATCTGGCCCCTGCTTCCATCAGGAGTTCGGCTATCCGGAAGATCTGCTCACCCTCAGAACCTATCACTACGACACAGTTTTATCTTACGCTCCTTTTACCATGCCTTCGACTTCCAGATTCCAGATGTTTCGGTTTTTTTTTCCTTTTGGGACTGTTCTAAGTCTTCCTGAATTGTCCTTTGTTTCATTTCTTCTCCAGATGAAGGAGACGATGACGACTTCGTGATGAGAATTTTTTCTGTTTTTTTTTTCTTTTTTTAAAAGACATTCAAGCCATTTCTGTCCCCAACAATGCCAAACGTGTGCTCTTATCCAAAGCAATGTTTATTTCTTCTTCGAGAGTAATAACTGACTGGGGAGTATTCATTATGCTCGGCTGCTCTTCTTTTCAAGGGTTGGAGCCGGGCTCACAGACAAGTATAGAGCGAGAAGAGGCGTGTGTAAGAGAGTCCCTATTGGCGTCTGCGCTGGATCCAAACGGGAGTCGGGTTAGCACACGGTGCGCGCCTGTCGGGCAGCGCTGGTTCCGCGCGAGCCAAGTCTTTGACGTTGGCCCTCACTCCGCATCGGTCACCGCGCCAATTCCCGTCACCGGAAGGTTAGCAGGCCCTGATACATGAGAAGAAGAGCGAGCGAGAGACTGTGGGGCATACATCCCCATAATACATCGACGCGTTCCTCCCTATAACGAATCTGAGGTGCTTGTATCTACCACGATGCGCTAACAGTCGTGGCTTGGACGATTTCCAAATTACAGGACTAGCGCCAATGCAGTGCCAGCCTGCTTCCTCTATTTCCGGCGCCGCATCGGCCTGCTCGGCCACGTGAGCATCAGGCGTCTTTCAATCAGCAAACGTCCGTGGCGAATTTGCCCGCTGTTCCATCAAAATAACAGAAATTGCTGCTTTTTAATCTCCTCAGAAATGAGCTGCGAACCTGGAGTAGATCAGTATACACTAGGGTCTATTTCGGAAGAAATAAGCTCTTTGGGAAAGATAAACAAGTTTTATGGCAGCTGCAATGCGGTGTATAGTGGTCAAGCAGGAAAATCAGCCTCTTCAAGCCTACAAGAACACCAGTTGGTAGTAAGGAGGCTAGATCACTTGTCTCAAGTTGCCGTGCATACACTGGAAACTGGCGATAAATTTGCTTTTGGCAAAACTTGCATTGTTGGTTCCTGCCCATCTAAGAAGGGCCGAGAATCTTCGGAGGCCATGCACGCCGACGTCTCGTTCCTTAATTGACACATAGAATTGAACACTGTGTACAGTAATCGGTAACAATCGGGAGATGGCACCCAAAAAGCCGCCTAACAAAGCAGCCTGTCTTACCAGACAGGTGGTATTAGGGGTTTTATGGGTGGTGGCTGGTCGGGATGTACGATACTAGCCGAAAGAAAGCCTTATTTGCGCAGATGAATGATCGAAGTTGGCCCCCTCTCCGCTCCCTTATTACAAAATGGGTCGCCAAAGGCAGTATAGTGGTAACGGACGAGTGGAAGGCATATAATCGTCTTCCCTCAGAAGGTTATCTACATGTCTCTGTTAACCACTCAAAGAACTTCAAGGGCCCTACCACTGGACGGCACACAAATGCCATTGAGGCATACTGGAGTAGACTGAAAAGGAAACTCCACGAGGGAGGCCCTGCATGTGGTCGAGCTGTGTGGGCTCACATAGACGAAGTACATTATCGTCTTTGGTTTGGCCTCAATGCCATGTCTTTGACAGATGCCTGGAAACTGTTCCTGACCCATGTTGTGCAGACTTATCCTATTTAAAAGTGATTTTGTTTTGTAATAAACTGCCATAGTGCGAATGTATGCCGTATATTTAGGTGTACGTGTGTAACGATGGGGAAGTTGGGTAACAGCGACCATCGTCCATGTAACCTCCTGAGATGTTCGTTCGGCCAGCCCATGTTAGGCTGTCGCGGAAAGTCCAAGTAGTGCGTGAAAGTAGGCCTGCAACCGCTGATATAGCCTGAAGGCGTTTGAGTCCACTGTTAGAGGTATTATTTCTAGGTAACGAATTTTTTCGGTGCCATCTCCCGATTGTTACCCAGTAATCTCCGTGATAAATGGAAAAGGCAACGGCCAATGCGAACGAGACGTCAGTACACGCCGAGGGCTTATTGGCAGGAATGATTAAGCAATATCGATTTTTTCAGGCACGTTTACAATTTTAACTGTTTCGCACATTTACTGCAAGTCTGACGATAGCCTGTGAACCAGCGTTGAGAATTTATAATAATAAAGTGTGTTACTCTTTCCCAAAGAACATGTTTCCCTCGAATCATGCTTTTTGGGATTCCGATTTTACAATCATAAGGAAGGTTTACATTTTGTAAGGAGCGTTATCTATCGACGTCGAAGTGGTTCTTGAAGGCTTGTCAACTTCCTATGGTAGCACACCACTTATGGAATAGTAGATGCACAAGAAATTTGAATTTAAAATTGTGAAAATCCTCATAACTATGTTCGCTCGCCACTGTCTCTTCTGAAAATTTGAATTTACTCAGACCATCGATGTGGATGGCAGTAAAACCGTAGCTGGGGTCTCACGCCTATGCCATACATAAGGGATGGGAAAGGAAAGCTGGAATTCTGGTGCCTGTGCGACTCATTCGTACAGAACAATCACCCAACAGTCCTCCTTAATTGACGCCATTGTACACACCGACCGGTAATTTGGGACTGAACTTCGTCGCTTACCGACCGGAAGTCGGAGGACGTACAAATCAGATGCCTCAAACTACGAATTTACAGACACAAACTGGCGATTGGGAGGGGTGAACAGCTTCGTATTTTGCTCGTCTTATCCATTCAGTAGGCAAGATGTTAAAAGTCGACCTCGTCATTTTCATATCGGTCGCTGAATAATTTCAAATGTCCCGAGTATCGATCATTCGGCACTCATTCGATGCCAGAACGGAAGCGGTCGGGAAATCGTCCCGAAATGTTCTGACTCCAGTAAATTCGGTTTTAAATTACTTCAGGTGCGAGATCCTTTTCAAATATATTTTTGTTTAACAAGTTGAGGTACTCTGACAACTACTCATTCGGTGACCATAGGGTCGCATTTATGCCCAGTCAATCAAGTATTTTTATGAACAAATCATTCAAGAAGGTCAAAAGAGTAAAAGTCGTTCTTAAACTTGGGACTTTATCTGTCAGATTCCACTGCCCAAACCCGGCCCCTGAGCATGTCATGTGATCCACTCAGTAATGAGAGCTGTGCACAGACTCTTCAGTCTCTGAAGATATGTTGTCAAAATCACTAGTCGAAATTTCAAATCCAAAATAAACGTCCTTCGCTGAAGGCCCCTTCTTTTCTAGGCTTTCCAAAATATTAAAGCATTTTTGTAGAGCACATTTAAATAAGAGGGGAAACTCTTAGTGTCTAGTGAAGTATAGATGAGGGAATCAAGGCGTCTTATGAGACACCTCTGTTGAAACCATGATAATGCATTAGCGTATATCCTAAGAGATGTCTCACATAAGTCTGCACCATAAAGCGTCTCAAAGCCTCTAGAAAGCAACCTCAAAAACACGATAAATCTTTAAGTCCCTTTACCGTAAAAAGATAACTGTGAGCATGTGGAATAAGTAGTAGCGGTTACAAGGAATTGCTGTTCACAGAATACCGGGACGTTCAACTTTGCCTTGGAACTGCGGCCTACGGTCCTAATAGGATTCGAAACAAGGAAAATCTTTATGGTCATTCATATCTTATAAGCTGTGTCGGCCAGTCTTGGCTAGAACTGATTTGACTACAAAATTCGCTTACTGATATGGGCTAGGCAGAACTAAGACCCTTAGAGGGGTCAGTGGTTTGTTTAAGGTGTCCTCTTTAAATCTCTCTAATAGCCAGCTTAAGGACCCTCGCACTGTAAATTAGGACACCTCATGCCACAGACCGGGGTTTGGTGGGATGCGACTTAGACACGAAAACGAACAACGTGTGCGTTTTTCGGCCATTAGCAGAGGTTTTTTCTTCACTCAGTATTGTAGTAGCACTAGCTGGCTGCCAACAACCGATGCCACTTCAATAAAACTGTTAGAAACAAGTTTCAAGGTGGTGAGGATCGTGAACATCCTCATCCGAAATTCGGATCCAATAAATGAGGTCGTTAGTTTTCACTGAGACGCCTCTGGGTTTCAGTGACAAGACTGTAGACTCCCGCAGACTTTCTTAAAAATCGCTGTTAACAGAGTAGTAGTAGTAGTAGTAGTAGTAGTAGTAGTAGTAGTAGTAGTAGTAGTAGTAGTAGTAGTAGTAGTAGTAGTAGTAGTAGTAGAAGTAGTAGTAGTAGTAGTAGTAGTAGTAGTAGTAGTAGTAGTAGTAGTAGTAGTAGTAGTAGTAGTAGTAGCAACAGCAGCAGCAGCAGTAGTAGTAGTCCCTGCTCACGCTTCTCGAGAAGTCTTCCATTATATATAAGACCCCATAGACTCTTGCCTATCCTCTGATACGATTTGATGACCGGATCTTTTCTACGGACTAACTTTGCTTTTCCCTAAACTTCTCTGTCTGATCTAATCTTCTTAGCACTGTCTAAATAGCTTTTTTGCGGAACCTGCACAGTCGGAGTATACTTCATTCCTTCATTCAGAGCACACAGCCCATGACTCTTTGTACGCGACTTTGTTTGCTTCTAAATGAACCAAACTAGTTTTCGAAGGAGGGCCGCAGCGAGTGGTAGCGGGGGGGGGGGCAGGCCTGAAGTGCGTCTTTTTTCAAGCAGGATCAACTGTCGTTTTTGTACCAAATTGAAGCCAAATCTATGTGGTAGCATAAATCACGCCCAGCACGTTGCTGCATGATTGGGTTGCAGCTCCTACAGCAACTGTCACTTGCGGCAGAATTGTATAATGTACGCGAATTTATTTGCTATGCACAGCTCTTGTTAGTCGCTTGGCCAGTTACAACTTGCTGTTAACAGTCTCCGGCACTTGCCTCCTCCTCCTCCTCC